AATATTGCATGCATCCATGAAGATGTCATAAGAGATTGTTAAACAGAAAGAAATTAGCCTGAGACTTCTGGAAAGGCTTCTCAGAGGAAGTGTCAATTAAGCTAAGATCTGAAGGATGACCAGGAGCACATCTGAAAAAGATTCAGGAAAAGGAATGGAGTGACGGAACTGTGTGTAAGGAAGAATGCAAGCAGGAAAAACCTTGGAATCTTCCAATTCTAAACCAGTTCTAAACAGGGACCTCGTGGCACAGTGAGCGTCAGGGTGAGGCGAGGACACTGGAGTGGGAGGAAGTGGTGGGAGATGGCACGCGTGGACTGAAGGGAGGCTGAAGAAGTGGCAGAGCCTCACAGGCCTTTTAAGGATATAAGATTTTATCTAAATGAAAGTAGGAAACCACTGAAGAGCTTTAACCAAGTGAGATGAGACAGCTTTTTTTTTTCTTTCTAATATTCTCTCCACTTTCCAATTAATTTGAAACCTAATCTTTGATTTCCAAAGCAATAAAAATAGGACTTTCTCCTCTTTTATGACCATCATCCTTTCTGCAATTGAGGGAAAAGGTAGACAGAAAAACAGAGCAATGCCAGACTTGAAGGCTCACACCTGTAATTCCAGCACTTGGGAGGCTGAGACAAGAGGATCGCTGTGAGTTCAAGGCCAGCCTGGGCAACATAGTGAGTTCAAGGCCAACCTGAACTATGAAGCAAGACCTTGTCTCAACCTCCCCCTGACACACACTCTTACACACACACAAACTGAGCAAATATGGCCAGTACTGGGGAAGGTTTTGGTGGATGCCCAGGGCTCAAGGGCACTGCTGGGTTTCCAGTGAATTGTGGGTAAATCTATTGATCCATTCTCTTGTCTGCACCCTTCCAGCCTAGTGAGAGGCAGTGACTCCACCGCAGTAGATCTGGGGAGGTCAGCAAATGATAGACCATCCATATAAGAGTAGTCTCACACCTGCAATGTAACACAGCCTAAAATATGATGGCAATAACTATCTTGGATTCATAGAGGGGAAATTTTGACAGTGGATGTAGAGGCTTGCCTCCAATTACGTTACGAACTTTTTTCCACACTCACTACCTTCAAAGTCTCTTAAAAATGTCTTCAACTGAAAATTAACAAGCATATGGCACATGCATAGATTTGAATCCAAATCAGGAAGAACTAAACAATTATCCCCTCCCGAGGTTTTGAAATAAAAAGCAGGCCAGCTTCTTGAGTGACCACAATGTGAAGACTCAGCACGACTGTAGAAATACGCTGTTGCTGTAAAGTAGGTCTTTTGTAGAAATGGAACAGACAAAGCCTTTCATGTATTATTCATGATGCCTTGTGCCCATGTCAACTCCTGATTAATAATTAAAATTAATCTCATTACGGAAGATTTCATTACAGGATAATTTAATTAAAGGATGAACTGGCTCCCAGATGTTACCTTCACTGCCATCTTTTAAATAATGCTGACGATGACACAGGGGACTGAGAGGTATCAGCGGGGCCTTGGGAAAGTGAATTATTTATTGGGTTCTGCCATTGTGCTAATAATAAATGATATTGATCACAATTATGCATTAACCTTCCCCAAAGTGACGTTTCCCATATTTCTGATATTTTCCCAAATCTTTTGAAGTCCATTGGAAATTTGAGGTCATCATTTTGTCATTTCTTATTTTGTAAAGATACATCCATTTAGCAAAAATTTCATTCACAGGAAATACATATTTTTGAGGGATAAGTACACAAAATGGTCTCATAATTTAGAAATCTGAAAATTCTACTTCAAAATTAGTATGAGAAAGACTGTGCTAATCACAACACTATTTTCTGGTACAAAAACTAGGTCAATAATACAAATTAATCCAGCAGTAATGGGAATAAAATTTCAGAATTTTGTTGCATTTGTTTCTATAAGGTGAACAATAAAAAGAGTCTCAGAGAGTCAAGGTAGTGTTTATTTGGCCAACAGAAATCACAACTTTAGGCACTTCCAGTTACTATAAATTTCACTGAAGCAAATGCACTGCTCTTATCACACTTAGCACAAGTTACTTCTTTTGCTATATCAGTGTAAGCCAGAATCAGGGTGAAAACATTAAAAGAGGCATTTTTTATTTGTGAAGACACTTTTCTCATGCCATAATGTCTGAGCAAGTAGATGCCATTCCAAAAATTATTGGTGAAACATACAGCTTTTCATTATTCTACTTCAATTTATAATTCTGATCTCTTTCAAAAAATTTATATATTAAAATTTCAGTCTGAGGCTCAATTTGATTTTTGTGATCTCTATTAGCTGGCGATTCTCTAAAGATAGAATTTTAAAACTGTAAGAAACTGTCACACAATCTTCCCATTAAGTAATACATTGGTTCATTTCAAACTTCACCACAGTGGCCAGGGATTTAGCTCAGTGGTGCCGCTGCCTGCCTCGCAAGCACAAGGTCCCAAGTTTGATCCCTGGGGAAAATAAATAATAAATAAATAAATTATCAGCACAGTCACTGAAAAGTAATGTATCATGGCAGAGCAATCAACCATATCGTCGTATCTTGCACAACGTACATTCATTGGTTCACCAGCAATCTAAATTGTCGAATCACAGTTGTATCCCAGAAAACATCCAGTTTTATCTTCCATTCAATACATGAATTCCATGTACAACATCACTCTTTTATCCACCAGTGGACACATACAACGTTTTGCTAGACAGCTTTTTCTATTTTTAGTCAGCTGACAGGATTTGAAAGTTCTAATGTATTCCCTTTCCAAGTCACTTGAAATCTTGTGCTCCCTTCCTCTTCCTCTCCCGCCTCACTGGACATTCTGTATTAAATGGGCAAACCCCTGTCTTTGGCCAGATTGATTCATCTTTCTGGTTTACCTCTTGTTCATTCCGGCATGTCCTGGGCTCCTTCTCCACCAAATCAGGACTCTTCCCTGTTAGTGCTGACTCCAGACCTATCATGGCGGAATTCTTTAACCTCACCAATCTTCCTACAAAAATTCCTTAATATCCTGTATGTGGACGGTGCTGTGCCAATTTATCTTCGGGTATATTGTACTACAACAGCAGGCATCCCGTATGCAAACCCAGAGTGTATTTGGGTTTCCGTTCTTATCTATTTGTCTCTTCACACAAAATATTAAACTGGATTTAATTAGTGGTTACATTTTAAAATGCTTATCAGTTAAAGAAATTTCCACACTAACTTTAAATGTAGACCTTTTGAGAAATACCAAGCACCAGTCAGTCCATTCTATCAAAAAAGAACTAGAAATGGTTTCACAAGAAGACACTAGGACTCCATTTGCAATTTAAAAATCTCTCACTGTCATACATATTTCTCAAAAATATTTAATAACTCAATCTTGACAGGATTTTTGTAAGCTTTTTCTGCTAATTGATGTTTGTGTCTTATTCATCCACAATGGACATTCGTAGTATCAAATTTTACTAAACTATAAAAAAAAAAAATCTGTGAATTGGAAAAATGCTGTCATTTAATTTCAAATTCTCCAGCTGGAACTTTAGCTCTTTGGGGACTGGTTACACAATTCTATTTTTTTAGATCGCCCTCTAAGGTATGTAAAAAATTTATAGTGGCTACTCAGTAAACATGCATTTCAAACTAGGGAATAAATGTGCTAGCAATTTGTGTGGTAGATCTGACTTAGGTTAGGAAAATAAACATGGGCAAGCTAAGCTCCCCAAAAGCTTAACAATTCTGAAAATCTTGGAAGGTATGGAAATAAGCTTAATCATCATATCACAATATACTAGATTTGTTGCCTCATGGAACCCAAGACAGCAGTCTGAGCAAATAAAAGGAAATCTGACTTCAGAATTAAAATAATGGATGATCTTATTGTAAGTACGAAGAGCAGCTTCTCATTAAAAGGATTTTTTAAAACAGACAGATTTACAGAAGGTACAGAGAAAACTGGCTTTGTGTGGACATTTGTTTGGACTCACCCACCATCTGTACTTTGAAACAAATTTCTCTGTTGTTGAAGTTGATGTCAGGTGTAGGTTTTGCATGAATACCCAGCAGCATTTTCGTAAACCAGATGTTTACCTGTAAAAATCTAGTCTCTTCTTCAACACAGTGGGTTAGGAAAACAATCTTTGTTCACAATTTTAAAATCACAGACACTGTATCTTGCCTGCCATTTCTTCATCTACATTTGTCTGATTTTTTTTTTACCTATTTGTCTATCTTGTACAATACCTGGATATAATTAGTGGCTATATTTTGAAAATATTAATCAGTGAAGGAAAATTACATATTAAGGTTAAATAAATGACCTATAATCAAAATATTTTATTTCTACATGCATATTATTTTCTCCCTAATAGCACTCAGATTATGCTGGGTATTCTTTTCTGTAGAGAATGCTGTTGAGTACTGTCATTTATTGAGCAACTATTATATGTTAGGAGATGGCCTACCTTTATCTGAATATATCACTATAACACTCTAAAAATAGATATTTACCCTTGATAAAGATAAGAATGTTTACCGAGTTTAACTTTCCCACCAACATAGCTAGTAAATGGTCCAGAAAGGATTCAAATCATGTCTATGAGACTCCAAATAACATTTTCAGCGACCTAAATATCTTCTATATATGGTCTCACTGGATCCTTATATAACCAACCCTGTGAAATGTGGTTGTCAGTAGCACTATTTGAAAGACATGAAAACTACACACAGAGAGGTTAAATTAGCTTCCCACTTCTAAGACACAAAACAGGGCCTTAGCAACAGGCACTGGACTTGGCACGGCTGGTCACCCACGCTGTAAGACCGCCTTCCCTGGGCTCCTTCCTAGTCACTCGGAGGATGGGCCTGCTGTGTACATAGGCTCGACCTGGATGAAAAGTCGACCGGCACGACCCCTAGGAAAATGACACCAATCTAAGAATTTATCCCCATTTTGCATTTCCTTCCCTGGCTGTCCTATTCTCTGGTTCACCGTAGTGGCTCCCACCTGGTCTTCTAAACTTGCCTTCGGTCAGTTTCCTCTCCGTAGTGCTTTCACAGAAAGCAGTCTTTTCAATTAGCAGTAATCGCGCCTCGGATCAACCTCACTGGCTACGATACTGCCACTGCGCAAACGCAAAGCTGAGAAAGCAGTCTTTTAAGCTTAATTTTGCAATACAAGAATGAATCATACTTATTTGTCACCTATAAACATTTTCTTATATAAAAGGACAAGCATCACTCGACTCTGGTATATGATTCACTTATTGAATTGGATTAAATATTTTGACTCTAGAATTGTAAAAGACCATTTGAAAGAACAAATCCTTCTTTAAAATTCTGATAAATGCTACCAATGTTTCCAAGAAAGACTGAGAAAGCTTGAAAATACTGATTAATATTTGGCTTTTAAAAATATTGGCTGATTTTCTGATAAAAACTTTCTTTTGATTAATGGTTAGTATTAATCAATATACAGGAATATTCGTGCAATCTTTTAGTCATTAAGTATTTTTTGAGGGCCTGCTCTGTACCTAGTTTCCTGGGATCCAATTTGTATCCAAAAAACTATTTGATATTGGTTTTCCATATTTTCACTTTCACAGGAATCTTTTTCACCAACGTATCAGACACATAGGATGCTGAAAATAAAAAGAATTTCACCCAAGTAGTAACTATAATTATCTATTTCATAAGAAAAAAACTTTTAAAACTGAAGATAATTTGAAAATAAAAGTTGGTGAAGCAAATCACATATTATATTTCTATTAGCCCACCTATTCAAACTAGAAACAAAAGTCATAAAAATTAGGATCTTCAATTTTTAAAATTTCTTTTCTGTGTTTAAATTATAGATTCTGAAGTAGAACTTGAAATAAAGCTCCCAATTACAGATACTTGTCAACTATACACCCGGGGTGGCAGAATACAAGTATGAATTTTCTGTCACATAAAGAGAAGCACTGCATAACAATTCCCTAACTTACGAATTTTAATCGTGTGTCTACTGTGAAGTCACAGAATGGGTTGTTTTGACAGCAGTAGAGAAAATGTATACATTATATATGAACTGGTGTCCAATTTTCAAGTTGTCTTTGAAATATTGAAGGGCTAATGTTCAAAAGAAGCAAATGAAATCAATAATATTTGAACTTGTTCAAGTGGAGAAAGGAATTTTTAAAATTTAATGAAGGTTGAGGTTTAACCTCAAAAAAGTTCACTTCGTATTTAAATCGTCTTTTCCTAGAGGTATGCTCTTAGCCTGGGGGAACTATTTAGCATTTGTAAGATTATAGAAATAACTGTGATGACTTCTTTATTATTTTTGACTTCACTAGCATATCAAAACTGCTATTGAAGAACAGGAATGTTTTTTATTTTGCCTGTCAAAGTGTACTCTGATTAATATCAATAACATTTTTTTTCTGCTTCATTTAACATTGATATCTTTGACATAAGAAACAATCACCACAATTGAGGTAATGAACAGATCCTTTTAAAAGCATTCAGCCCTGACTCATTCACTACTATTCCATCACTTTCATAGACACACGGGTGTGCAGGTACACACACGGCCACCAGAACTGGATTATCAGCTATTAAGTTATTGCATGAAACATTAACATGTATGTGGTTACTGAACTACTGATGCCACTCATAATTCCAATTTTAGTGTGAATAAAAATGCGCAGATTCTAATAAATAATGTATACATAATTGTCTAGTCTAATTCATATTAAAATGTCAACACACTACAACTTATTTTTTAAAAAGCTGAAAGAATTAGGTGAAGAACCTGGTCACTTTTGTTGAAATTCAAACTCAGAAACCTAGGCAGCACTCTGTGTTTCCAAGTCTCTTCTTGGAGTGACTTTAATTCTTAATGTCCTAATTACTTGCACTTATTAAATAATTGAAACCACCTAACAAACAAAAGATGAGATGGCTTTTCTATCTGACTCACATGATGGCATGAGCTTGTCCTAAAGGGAGAAAAACAAGAATTATGTTGGCTCAGGGAGACACACTGATGAGGAGAAAAATCAATGCCTGTGTTCATCATGAATTTTTATTCTAAAATACACACATGTACATCCACAGGTACAGACTTCTGTATTACAGATGCAGGTATGTAGAATGAAATTAATTTTGTCATGAAAAACTGACAATGTGTATATTTAGAAACAGCAGTATCGGCTTTCCAAGATAACAGCAATTAGAAATAATTTTGTTACCAATGACATGCATGTGTGGTACACATATAAACTCTACACTCCCATAAAGTCTAAAAGTTCTTTGCAATATATGATCCCCTTTCTTAGCTTGAATTGAAACTGAGTACCAGCAGCATGACCTCATTCCTGGTCACTTTTCACTGACTCATTCAGCATTTGAAAGACACAACTGATGTGAATTTACCATAGATGTCCACTTCCCAAGATGCACTGGGAATTACAGCATATGACAGCAGGAAGGGCATGGCCTGCCCAGATCACTGTCCACCAACTGTGCTATCTGCAACTCCTACTCCTGACATTCCTCTGTCTTTCTAGTGAAACAACTCTACTCCCAAAAGTTATGACTATGAATATTTTGAAAAGGCAATGTACACAGCTGCTGAATAACTTCATGAACAGCATTAAGCTTTGGATTTACTCATAATTCCCAGCTATTCTCACACCTTTATACGACAAGTTTTCAAAGACTAGCCTTAAATACGCACAATAGGTATATGCTGCTTGTAGGAAAAGCCACATTCTAACTCTGGGTAAAGGCCTCAATGGTAACATTGCCTCCAGTCCAGAGTCACGAAAATGTATAGATAAAAACCTCGAAGAGGATGATGGTCCTTTCACAGCAGTCATCACACAATTTCTATACTCCTGTTGCAGCCTTGGTTTACTCTTACCATGTTATATGGTAATAGCAGGAGTTTCTTTCTCCACCCTAAAAAGTGTCTCAGTTAAAATAACAAATGATATATTTTCTTGACTTAAAAGGTTACCCTTTTACATTGGTTCAGTTATTACTCTCTCAGCCTAGCTTCACCTTCCATTCAAAATATGTGCATTGTTTTGATCATGGTTGTTACTCATCTGGTTTAAAATCCACAATGATTATAAACACGACATAAAAGTATAAAGTCATCGATACAGAACTGATTTTTAAAACAGGCAAGAAAGCAGTGAAGATGGCAGATGTCATGGGCCCTTTGCCTTTATGGCCACAGGACAAGAATACGGCTCCTGAACACAGGGCTGAAGGACCTCGATGGTAAGACAGAGGGCTACTCTGGGATGACTCGGGAAGCCAGGCACCGGAATGGGCTCATCTGTGTGCTCCGGCTGACACTCTCCTACTCACACTAAATCTGCACATGATTCTCGAGCACATGAAAAGAAGCCCTAACTCCAGGAAACACCACCAATTAAATCAACCAATTTAAATATATTTTTTCCATACAAAATTACTCTTACAGAAATTAGTTTAGAAGTTTTCCAATAGATGAAAGAGAAAAATATTTGCCCTCAACTTAAAAAAAAAACCTTGCATTCAATGGGCAAAATTTTAAAACGTTACTATCTAAAAATATGTGAAAGAAAATTTAAAGTTGTGGAAACAAGCAGGCATCACAGAGCAACTGAGAAGTTCAATCATCTGAAAGGAATTTCAGGAGGTTATGCAGTCAGAGAAATAATAGTTGGAGCTAAAAATGTTAAGAATTTTAGAAAAGCTATAAAATGCCATAGATCAAAAATTCACTTTTGAGTACCATATAGGATAAATGAATACATATGATATAATAAAACAGCAGTTAAGGCTGAGAATCAAAAGCCACTAGAAGCCGGGAGTGGTGGCACATGCCTGTAATCCCAGCACTCAGGTGGCTGAGGCAGGAGGATCGCTATGAGTTCCAGACCAACCTGGGCTACATAGTGAGTTCCAGGTCAATCTCAACTACATAGTGAGACCCTGTCTCAAAAAACAAACAAACAAAAAAGCCACTAGAGAAAAAGAACAGATTAACAAAGAATCAACAGACTAACAACAGTTTCTTGTCACTAAGGACAAACATCATTCATTTAAAACACTTTTGTGTTCCAGGATAAGGGCAATAGTATAATATTAACTTGTTTTAATCTAGACTTAAAATCAGCTAAAATATTATTAAAAATAAAATGAATAGCTAAACATAGACTACTACTGATCAATTATTTAATTATATACTTCTGCATATAGAAAATTAACTCATACGGACACAGCAGCATAAAATAAAAGTAGATAAAATGTTATAAATTTACATAACTGTTTATTATAACATTGTACTAGAAAAGATAAAACGGAACTCTAATCAATGTATCAATAAGTAAAATATGCTGAGATACGCTCCAAAGATGATATACAGACTGATTTTACATTTAAAAATATGTAATTTACACATATTTTAAAAATAAGAGCAATTGTTATGGAAAACTCTAATTTATAGCCTCCAAAAAGCATAGACAAATGAAATATAGAAAGCTTCCACAACCAAACACAAGGCAAGAGGAAAAACTGGAGCAAAAAAGAATCTTATTAAAAAAACTCAATATGAGTAACTACAAATAAACTTGCAAACTTGAAATAAGTGTAAACAATAAACTTTCACAAACGGTGTTACTTTTAAATTTAAGGAACTTATTCTGTTTGGAACAGATTCCCCTAAACAATACCATGCAAAATAATTTTTTATAAATGGGTGAAAAGTGTGGGGAACATAAAGAGAAACATACAACTAATACTAATCCCAAAAAGTGGATACAGTCATGCTGATGTGAAAAAATACAGTTCACAATAAAAACATTGCTATTGGTCAAAAGGACAATTGACTCATAACCAAGGCAAAATATACCAAAAAGACATAATAATTATAAGCTGGTACATACAATGAGCGTAACCCCAACATATACAAAGTAAATACTGTCACAGTTACAAAATAAAGAAAAAATAACAAATGTCTGACCATAGGAAAGGTCTTTGTTCATTTAGTTTTATGACAATTATAGATATTTGATGGCCTCTAAGCCTAACTGCTCATTCTAAGCACTGGCATCTAGTTCTGAAATTTTCACTGTCTTACAAAGGACCCCCATGTGGT